AAAAGCTTTTACTATGTAAAAGCATATCCCCAGAAATGGTGTAATTATTCAGTTAAATTTTATGTCTTCCTGTTAAAGAGCTGAACGTTTTCAATTAGAGTGAACAGAATATTCCTTGATTGTAGTAGTTTTTTTAATTTTGAAATTTGTAATTTGAGCAAAATAGTTTTAAAGTTTTTATATTTATGAATGATCAATAGTAGCAAGTGGCTGTTTTTCACCTGTATTTTAACTTGGGCAGTGAATCTGAGATTGAAAAACCACTAAATATGGATCCTGTGGTGGATGTTGAAATGATTAGACGCTTGAAATAGACGCCCTCGTTGTGATTTCCTCCTTAAGCTTGGCTTGCTGTGTGGCCTTCATCAAACCAGTAAACCGTTTTCTCCTGTTGGTAAAATGGGGAACAATAATCGGACCCACCTTATAGGATTAAATGAATTCATATTTAGAGAGTGCTTACAACAGTGCTTAAAATTTTAGTTATTATTGTTTCTAATAAAGTACTTAGGAGATAGCTCATATTTCCAATTGTGGTTAATCTATGCACACTGATAATTCTGTAGTTTTAAATTGCATTCATTTCATTACAAAATGGAATTTGTATAAAGACGTGAGTTTTTTCAAATGTTAAGTTATGTTTCCTCAGTTTTCTTATTATATTTATTCTTGAAACTATTTTGTATTAATTATGGCAACTGGAATTTCTAAATTTGTATGTTTTTACAGCATGTTATAAAGTTTTAAACTAATTTATCTCACTTTGTCTTTATGGCGTCTCTAAATGTGCATTATCTTATTATAAATGAGATGCAATGAATTGTCCAGTTTCTCACAGCTGTAATTGGGAGAAGTGGACGTCCACTCCAAGTATCCTAATTCAGAGAGTCTGTGCTCCTTTCCTGCTTCTCTGTGGAAGCCTTTATGGGCCTCCCAAATCAAAACTAGAGGTGTCTAGATTCACCAATGTCTTTGTCCTTTGTCCATCATGAAATAAACCAGAACCAAAGATCTGTCCCGCTCTCTGGCATTTTGTCTAAGATAACTATTAACTCTCCTTCTTTATTCTTTCATTCATTCTTTCAGCCAGAAGTTACTGAGTTTCTGTAGGAGATACTGTGCTTTGAAAATTCTTGGTATGGATCCAACCTATTCTCAGTGCATTTATTTACATATAATTTTTCCAGTTATAATTGCTATGTTTAAAAAAAGATTTGTGACAACCTCATAGCTACATGAAATACAGCAAGGTAATATAAATTAGAAGTTATTGATGAAGAAAAAAATACACACATACATATGCATACAGATACAGTAAAAATATAAAATATACTCACTCCAAAATGAGACTTTGGAGGTCCTATGTATACCTTACAGCCCTTGATGTGTATTATATATGTGGGAAGGCATAAAGTGACTGACCTTGTCAAAGTGTGCCTCTAATAATCATTCTGAAAGCAAATGAGTCATACTATATATAATCCTATCTTGCAGAACATTTGAAAGAAAGTAAGATATAGTCTGTCTGTCTTAGCAATATTTAAACAAAATGTGCAAGACAGTTGATACATGATGATGATCATGAGATGATACTAACAACATTCATTGGGATTTTTGCAGAGTATTTGTGAAGAATGGAGTATTATGAAAGTTTAAATTTTTTTTCTATTTGTCAATTTTTTTTATTCTGAGTTTACCTAAAGTTATATTTTTAAGTCATGTCACTAACTTACAGTATTAATGGTTGAGATGTGAGTCTGAATTATTTAACGATATTAGGAGAAATGACAGAGTTTTGTTTCAGCTGTGTATCGTATTCACTAATAACTTCTGTACCCTTTGATTTAGAGGTTTTTCTTATTTGAGGAAATGAAACCTACTGAGTCATTTAGAGTAGATGGAGTCCTCAGTACTTCCTCTTAACATTCACAGAATGGTGGGGAATAGAAAGTGAGTTATTTACTGGTCTTCCTTCTTCATTAACACATATTATTTGATCTTGCCTTAAGTGTTCACTGATAGGAAGATTATTTTAATTATTGGATTGAAGGTATTCTTCATGTGTATTTAATCAACCACTTGACAAAAACTAGGGCAGAGTAACCGAAGTAGCATTTGAGACTTTATGGTTAGACGTAATTTGCATGTGACAGTAGTCCATTTATAAAGTGTGATAGACGAAATCATATTAGAGTAAGTACCATTAGAGACGCATTCAGTGTGATCTGTGTTTGCAAATCAAAATTGATGTTCATTGCAGCTGTTTGTTGATCTGATGAGTAATATAAACTCTCAACAACAACTGAAGAGAAGATGTATTTTGTGGCATCTACTCTTATAATAGGTACTCTTAACACACATCATTAATTTGTATATCATTAAACTCTCAAGTAGCATAGAGAAAAATCTAAATTCAATTTTAGATGAACAGTTCTCGGTTTTTTCTTGTTCTGTAAAGACACAGTTGTTGCCTTTCACCTCCTACTCCTTCAAAACTCAATCTTTTCAGTTACCTCTTATGAGGAAATAGATCACATAAACTGGATGTTTATGTTTAACCAGAGCAATATGTGAGTTGACCCTGGAGGTTCAAAGAGAAACTTCTATAGCCTAATAGTGTGTCTTGCACATTCTATGCATTGTACTAAAAAATAGTGTGACTTTCATGATTTAGATTGAGTGGAATAATTTTTAGTTACAATACTCTACTGGAATTCGGTCTTTAACAGGTTCTTAGTTTTTAGTTATGATGCTAAAATATTTACCAGTGAATTTATATGATGTATACATTTGTAGGAGTGACTTCAAAACAATCTAAGAGTGGAAGGAATAAGAGCATATACGTGAAACTGGATTGGAGATGAATTGATAATGTTTGAAGTCAGGTGATAGATACATAGAAATTCATTACAGGTTTCCTTCCAATTTTATGTATATTTGAGATTTTCTATAATTTTTTTAAATGTATGAGTAAATTAAGTGCCCATGTAGGTCTCAAAGTACTACTTTCATTCTTCATGTGTTAAAGACACAGGGACCATTATTTTTTTTTGACACAGAGTCTTACCCTGACCCAGGGTGAGGGCAGTCATGCTATCGTAGCTCACTGAACCCTCAAACTCCTGGTTTTAAACAAAACTCCCACCTCAGCTTCACAACCAACTGGGAGTTCAGTTGTGCACCACCACACCTGGCAAATGTTTTAAACATTATCTTTTTGTAGAAACAAGGTCTGGCTATGCTGCACGGGCTGGCACAGCTTCCTGTTACATAAAACTATCTTTTTGAAATTGTTTCATGTAGATCTGTAAAAATACTCCATAGGCACCTAATATGGATCCCTTTTGACTTTTATAACAAGGGGAGTTTTGCCTGGATGATAACATATATTGAATATGACTTTAAGTTTAATATTCTTTCTGTAGATATATGAGAAAGATTTAGCTTTTCTTAAATATTTACTCCTGTTTTAGAAAATATTGTGAGGAGATTATAAAAAATAGAACACTTAAATCTTGATTTTATTATCTGTAAAATGATGGAGCAAATAATATTTAGTGTGTTTTGAAGCCCACCGGACCTGAATATGTGGGGTGGTAAACCTTGGGATTCTATATTTATATGTCTGTATTTCTCTGTATCACCCTAGTTCAACTATTTTACCATTCCAAGTTTCTCTTCCAGATTATGTACAAGCAGATGAATAAGGGAATGTTGCAAATTTTTTTCTTAATCAAGCCAAGGCTTTTCCTTTTTTGACAATTTGTTTGGCAAAGGAGGTGTTCAATTTGTTAAGTTGAATGAAGCTTAGAAAGAATAAACTATCACAAGATCTGCCACTAAGTTGATGCTCCGTAGTTGTTCAATGAGAAGAGAGGGAGAGAGAGGTATTCCATCCGGGGCCAAGCATCACTGTTGGGCAGGTAGATCACTAATTGCATATTAAACCAAGTGGATAGGATAGTCCTGAATTACTTATGGAACAGTTTCTTTAAAGGTGTCAACTCTCTGCATCACTTGTCTTGCCACTAAAATGGTGCTGTTTCATTCCATTTCTTTCTTAAAGTAATATTATGATATTTGCTACTTTTAAATAACACATTGCTAAAGTCATGGTATAATGCAAAAACAAAAATAGGGTGGACAATATCATATACCATCTTTTCTCTAGAAAGTAATGTTGTCTGTAGGGCAAGAAAACAGTTTTCTTTTTTTTAACTTCCCTGCAAATTGTGAATTTTTAATGTAGTTTTAAGAAATAAACATAGGAGACTTTGAGCAAAACATCCAATATTGACTAATAAATACATTTCCACCCCAAAAGTATTTGCACAAATCTTTTTGCATCATATTGTTTAAAAGCAAGATAAAGGGCAAAACTTAGTATCTCACAGAGTAGCTTATATTCCAAATCAGCTGTGTGTCAGGATGACAGGCTTTCAGGACAGATGTTGGTTTTTGAATATAAATGTACACATTTTAAATTTTCCTAATTGTGGATAAAGATTATTAAATACATGGGCAGTTAAAGCAAATATTTAGCCATAGTTAGATGCACAGGAACTTTTCTAAACTAGATTTTGAATTGTATTTTTCTCAACAGTACTACTGCTTTATTATAAATTTTTACCAAAATGCACTTTTTATGGAATGTTTAATTAGTACTGCTGTCTTTTCATAAAGACAGAGATGATCTAATTTCCAGTTTTCTTCAGGACTCTAATGCATTGATACATTAGAATTATAAGTGAACATGCAGGAAAATAAAGAGGCTTCTTTTCCTGGGAAAGTCAAACTTTTAAAAATACTTCTTTTTCTTAGGAAACAGAAGATACTATTATATATTTTGCTGGCTCTCTCTTTTACACCCACTACCTACCGCTTCAAGACAAATCTTCCCCCACCTCCCACCCAAAAACTTTTCTGGGGAAGGGCAACTTTTTTATAGTTGTAGAACATTAGCATTTCTAAACCAATCAATGGCTTTTCTATTTGTTTAGGAGTCGGATGGTCAGGGCTGCCCTTTCTGTCGTTGTGAAATAAAAGGAACTGAGCCCATAATCGTGGACCCCTTTGATCCAAGAGATGAAGGCTCCAGGTGTTGCAGCATCATTGACCCCTTTGGCATGCCGATGCTCGACTTGGACGACGATGATGATCGAGAGGAGTCCTTGATGATGAATCGGTTGGCGAACGTCCGAAAGGTAGAACTAGAAAACGTGGGTTTAGTTACAGTGTGTGACCATGTGAAAAACAAATGATGCCATCATAAATGGAGCATGACTGAGTGTATTTGAGTTTAGAAAAGAGGCACGCGTGTGCACATACACGCACACACACTCTCTCTCTCTTTCTCTCTCTCTCTCTGTCTCTCTCTCTCTCTAGCCTAGGCCTACACAGGGTCAGGATCATCAATATCACTGTCTTTCACCTCCACATTTTGTCCCACTGGAAGGTCTCCAGGGGCAGTAACACACGTGGAGCTGTCATCTCCTGTGATAACAGTGTCTTCTTCTAAAGTACTCCTGAAGAACCTGTCTGAAACTATGTTACAGTTAACTTTTTTTCATAAGTAGGAGTATACCCTAAAATAATGATAAAAAGTATAATACAGTAAACACATCAACCAGTAACATAATTATTTACTATTATCACATATTATGTACTGTACATAATTATATGTGATATACTTTTGTGCAGCTGACTGCACAGTAGGTTTGTTTACACCAGTGTCACACAAACACGTGAGTAATATTTTGTGCTATGACATTAAGATGGCTATGGTGTCACCTGACAATAGGAATTTGTCAACTTCATTATAATCTTATAGGACCACCATGATATATGTAGACCATCATTGAAATGTCATTGTGCAGGGCAGGAGGATAATGTGGACAGGCTGATATAATCAGAGATTGAGAGAGAACTAGATTCTACTCAAGGTACTCTCACTGGTTTTAAACATCATAATGAGAGGTGATGAGAGTGTTTGTATGGAATTAAACATCATCTAAAACTGGCAATAGCAGATCTGTGAAGGAAATGTTTAAGAAAGGAAACTATTAAAGTTGGAAATGGTGAAACTGAACTTGATTAAAAATATTCTTTGTTCAAGTCGAGAAGTCTCTATTAGAGTTTTTTTTCTTCATGGGAAGGCTGTCTCTTTGTTTGGCTTCTGGGAGGTCATATAAGATGTACCTTTGTGAATTTACCAGAGTCTGAGTTTGCTTATCAAAGTTGTTGACTCAGAAAAATTGACCTTGTCAGCTCACTGAGAATGGACGTTGCTGCCCAGTAAAGTTTATATAACCAAGTACACAACAGACTAATCAATGAACCAGAATGTCAACTGATTAATTTGCAGACCGGAAATATAGTGGTCAAGAGAGGTAGACTATTGGATATCAGGCTATTCCCTGGACAGAAAGATATATGAAATCCCAATTAGTTTCACAATTTTTTTGCTCTCAGAATCAGAGAATTGAGTGGTGTGAAAGGTCTGCATATATGGTGCCCCTCCCCCCCTCCTGACTTGGGCAGACCTGGCTAATCAGTCATGATACTTATCCCCACTGAATTCAGACTTGGCCTACAGAGCCTTTTCAGTACAGCCCTGAAGATCTTCCACTGTAATTCATCACGATTGATTTGGCAGGTAGCATGAAACCTATTTGCCGTTGTCACTTGGTGGAATGATGATAATGTGTAATGGCGTCGGATTATATTCACTATCTTCATCAATCTCTGTAGTAATGAAATGCTTGGTACTGGAATTTCGACGAGGCATTTCTTTGAGTTACTTTATTTTTAGAGCTGTGTCTGAGTTTTCATCTTGAGAAAATCCTGCATTTTCTCCCTTCCAATGTTCCCTGGTGAACAAATACATTCCTTTAGGATATTTTACCTACAAAATTTTACATATGAAGATATGTTAACATGACCAACATGGCTACTCTCAAATTTTGCTTTTTTCTGAAATGATTTTTATTATTTATCTTAGTGGTTTTTTAATACATTTTATAATTTAATACCTAGAAAACTACACATAACTTCACTCTTTAATCCCAACAGATACAGTTTTTATTAATAGTTTGAATTATGCGATTTTTTTGATATAAGAAACAGAAGAAAGAAAGTAGTTATTCCTCTGCAATCCTAAAGGATGAACAAGAAAAAATAATCTCAAATAGAAACAGACTTGAGACTTGAGTCTCAAAACAGATAGAGTGAACTTGAGGAAGACCTGGAATAAAGCACCAGTTTTGCTACAGAGCAGTAATGGGATGCTAGACAAGTTATACACCCTCTTTCTTCCTCAGCTTCCTTCTTTGTAAAACAGAAAAATAATAGTAGCTTCTCCACTGGGTGTTGTGATGATCAAATGGGATCAAAGACTTAAGAATCTTGAAGAATGTCAGGTCGTCAAGGTAATAAATGTTCACTATATTATTACCAATGTTAGTTAAAATTAATAATGCTATGTAATACATGTTCTAGGATATACTCCATAATCTGAGTTAGTAGAAATCATTTCATCTGGTCGGGCGCAGTGACTCACGCCTGTAATCCCAGCACTTTGGGAGGCCAAGGTGGGTGGATCATGACGTCAGGAGTTCGAGACCAGCCTGACCAACATGGTAAAACCCTGTGTCTACTAAAAATACAGAAATTAGCCAGGCATGATGGTACGTGCCTGTAATCCCAGCTTCTCAGGAAACTGAGGTAGGAGAATTGCTTGAACCCGGGAGGCAGAGGTTGCAGTGAGCCAAGATCACACCACTGCACTCCAGCCTGGGCAACAGAGTGGGACTCTGTCTCAAAAAAAAAAAAAACAAAAATCATTCCATCACTATGCATGTGAGAGAGCTACATATGGGGAGTTGGTAATATTGATGTACTGTTCCCTGGAAGACATAAGTTTGAATACTGGCTCTACAATGTACAAATACAAAAAAAATCACATGACTAGTATGAGTCTGATTTCCTTTTCTGAAAGATGAGAATAATAATACCTCCCTAAATTGTTGAGAGAATAACACACATTATTAATGCTGGTTTTATTGATTTGTGACCCTTCTTACTGCAAACTAAAAATGATTTTTACATTTTAAGTGGTATATATTAAAATTACCTTATAAGTACCTACAAAATGTCCTTAATTTTACATCTTGTCCTAAAATATTTACTACATGGCCCTTTAAGAAAAAGTTTGCAGCCCCAGGTCTAGGACATAGTAAGCATTTAAAGAATGTTTATTGAATGGATGGATAATAGAGAATGACAGAAAAGTATCAGAGATACAACAGCTCAAATAGTTCAGATGCTCAGTGTGGCAATGTTTTTCAGCTGCGAAGACATTTCAATTTTTTTTACTAAATGGGGTTTCATCTTCAGTGATTCATGTCAGAGGGTGGGTCTGGGCTTTAAGAAAAATTCTTTCAAGAATTTTGTATACCTTACCACTTGGGGGAAAACAGTATTTGCCCTTTGTGAATTTGGGAAAAGTCACAGTTTCAACCTGCTTTCCATTGAATTAAGTTGAAGCTTGAGCTTCTTTTCTGTAGTGGCACTAACAATCCAAAGGAAATGCTGGGAACATAACATGAGAAGCAGAATGTTCCAGGGTGACTCCAGTGTTTCTCCCTGATCTTTTCACAGGCTCTCAAGACCATTCATATTTCGTTCTCTCTGGCATACTGAGGAGCTTTCTGCCAAGGGAGCTGAGAGGTTTTCACATTGGTCCTCAAGCATTATTGTCCTATACGTCACACTTCAGTAGCTTATTAGGCAAGTCAGCAGTGTTTACTTCACAACAGCCTTGTTATACTTTCCTATGGCAATTAGATATTTTAGACATTTAATACACTTGTAGTTATTTGTTTTTAAGTTGAGTTACATTTCAATTAAATGTCTTTGTGTCTACTCATCTGCCTCTAGGCAATGAAGCTGATAGGGACTTTTATCATATTCGTAAATGTGTACCACTTAATTTTCAATAAAACCTAAATTTTTATGTAGATACAAGCATTATTCTTTTTGAATAATTCGGGAAAATATTGGTATGACATTATGTTCTTGTAGTACTTTGTATATACTTCTCTATATCAAGAGTTACACTAAAGTTATATTTTAGTTAAATGCCTATCTTTTCTACTAGACTATTAACTCTTAAGGCCAAGGACAATGCCTTATGTTTGTGTTCCCAGGCACCTAAATACAGTCAGTAAATACTTACTAAGTGAACTAATAAATGCATGCGCCTGCACATATATTCCTTTAGGTCAATGATCTAATCTTATGCATATTTTTTACTTTGTTCCAACCTGAATACTAAATATATATATATACAAAACATCAAACTAACAGACTTCATCCGGTTTTTTCTTACAGGAGTGGTTATAAACAAATATCACATGGTCATTTTGACATAGTAGTTCTTCTACCTGAATGTTCTTCCTCTATTTTTTAAATCATTCTTTGTCATTGATTCATGCATTTTCATTCATTCACTCATTCATTTTTTAATTAACTAATTAATTAATCAGTATAGAGCTGGAGCCTTGCTCTGTTGCCCAGGCTAGAGTGCTGTGGCACCATCTTGGTTCACTGCAACCTCTTCCTCCTGGAGTCAAGTGATTCTTTTGCCTCAGCCTCCTGAGTAGCTAGAAATACAGGTGTCTGCCACCATGCCTGGCTAATTTTTGTATTTTTAGTAGAGACAGTGTTTCACCATGTTGACCAGGCTGGTCTCAAACTCCTGACCTTAAGTAATCCAGCTGCCACTACCTCCCCAAGTGCTAGGACTATAGGCATGAGCCACCATGACTGCTCTTACTCATTTATTTTTAAAACATTTTATTCTCTCAATTAAAAGAGTGACTGCCAGTGATTGTCCAACAGAATGATTTCATTGTTTCTATCTGCCATTTTGAATACTCATCTGATCTTTTTCTTTTAGGAGCGGGCTGATGATAATATTATGAAATTGTTTCTGCTCGTCTTAAGCCTATTAGATTATTTAAATGAGTAATGCTTCCATCATAACATGGAAAACTGCTTTGATTTTATATTCCTGTTACCATGGTGATATCCACAGCTGGAGTTTATAAATAGTAGCATACTTAACATATAGTGTATTTGTATTATTTCTTTTATAGTTAAATGTGTTTAATAATACTAATCATTATAGAAGCAAATAGAACCT